CATGCGTTGTTTAACTTTTGTACTTCTGCTCAGGATTTACGCATGCATGTCTGTTGTTCTTAGGTATCCACATGACTCCTGTGCACGGGCCTAACTAGAAATGACAGGTCCCCATAGCAAAATTTAGTATTGGGCCCCGTGATTGCTAATTATGCCACTTGCAGAGCCCACCTGATATACCATACAGCCCACCTGAGTGACCCTGCAGAGCCCACCATAGACTCCCTATAGTGGGCTCTGCATGGTCTAAGATGAGCTGCACACCTCTTGGGTGTGAGGGCTGTGCGCTGTCTGCCTCCGTGTTTGCCGGGCCCCGCCTCCTCTTGCGTCCCAGGGCCCTGCCTCCTCTTACATCACTAGCTCTTAGGTTGCTGGCCTTGGCCCCGCCTCCTCCTTCAATCCGAACGCCTGCCTCTTCTGCAGCAGCTGCTGGCTCTCACTGACACAGCTCCGCAGCGGGTGTTCCTCTTCAAAGCCGCTTCTGAGCTGTCAGTGACAGCCAGAACCCTGATATGCCATGGCGACCCAGGCGGCCAACACGGCATCAGAGGGATGCCAAGGCCGGGCCCCATAGCGGCCGCATGGGTTGCTATGGCGATTTGTTACGCCACTGCACCCGTGGTTTGTTTGTTTTATTTACTGTATGCAATCCTATGTGGTTTTATATTAAAAAAACAGTTTAACTTTCTATTGTGATGGGAAAGACAGATTTTGGAGACTTGCCCAGGGCAACCAATCAGCTTCTCTTCAGTGTGTTCAGTTAATTTTGAGTACTTACATGCAAGTTATTTGCCATAAAAAGTCTATGGGGATCCGGGTACTGCCCTGGGGCAGATGCATCAATGTTAAAAACCCCTTTAAAAAAAAAAATGTTTTGAAAAGAGCTGTGATTCCAACATCACATAAAATAAAACCATACAAATGAAAAATGTAAATATCGTGCCTTTGGGGTCCCCTTTAACTGCCTGTAAAGTGGCGCATCTGTACGATGTATAGAACCACCAGCAGCAACATATTATATTCCTAAGGAAAGATTCGAGGATATTATGTATAGAGAAAAATTCAAAGTAGCCGGCGTGGCCCCCCTCCCAAACCTGACCAGACCGTTTAGGTTTGGTAAGAAAGTTAGAAGGGGCACCATTTTAACAAAAAGGAATAAAAAAAGTGTTGTGTTATCCCTCAGTCATACCAGGCCCTTAAGTTTTGGTCGTAATTTTTAGGAGGAACCCAACACACAAAAATAGGAAAACAAAGACGTGGGGTCCCCCCAAAAATTTACAACCAAAACCATGATACGAGTAAAGGCAGGGCAGAGAAAGGGAGGACGAGCATTTGTACGTCATCAGACAGTTGATTGTGTAAAGTCATTACTTTGCCCCATCATGGCTCTTACAGAGTACTGTGCCGTGATTGGGCAAAGGCTTGCGCCTGACCGGTGGTCATGTGCTAATGCTCTTGACTATCAGTGCTTCATAAGGTACTGTGCCTTTTTGGGGCGTACATAGAGGGCAAACAGCCATCCGAACGCCCCGATAGTTCATGTGTTCGCAGAACACATGAACTGCCGATGTTCGAGTAGAACTCTTGCCCAACTCGAACATAGATCCCATCCAACGCTAATGGGAAGGTGTCGGCTTCAAGTGCAAAGTGGCAGTCTATGGCATTCCCTGTACTACAGATTGTTTATTTGCACTTCAGGGAACAGATATTGGAACCCACCAAATATATAAAATGGGTGCAATATATCAAAAGTTAAGCACACAGAATATGGAGTAGTTGCCTATGGCAACCAATCAGCTTTTCTCTTCAGTTTGTTCAGTTAAAGTTTAAAACTGAAAGATAAAAGTTGATTTGGTTGTCGTGCGCAGCTGCTTCCAATTTTGTCTGCTACAGTTTATATAAATTCCCCTCAGTATGTTTTGTGCTGACATGCACAGAGAAAATCCTCCTCGCCTTTACTAGTTGTATGTCAGGACTCTACAGGCAGATCTGTAGTCCTCCTATTGCTAGTTGCCATTCTCTTCGACTGAATATAATCACAGATTTAGGTAAAGTTCTTCATAATTCTAAAGATAATGTCCTGAAATCATTATGAAGTAAAAGAAACAGTCACCAGCACTCGATTAGAATAAATATGTCCTTTTTAATGGACAATTGTGTCACTACAATCAACAGGGCTGACGTTTCGGGGCCGCACAAGGTCCCTTCTTCATGGCAGTAAAATTGTGACAGTCACAATTGGTATTGGAAAATACCTGCGGGAAGGTACTTGCACTTCGTCTGAGAAAAAGTGGTATCGGGACATTCCTATCCTGCACCCTGGTGGGCTTAGTGCAATCAAGTTGAACCCAACATTGAGAAATGACCTTAGGCCCAGAAATTGTACTAAAATAACTTTTTAGTGCTGCAGTTGAAGATAAATCAAGCAGAATAAGTGATATTTACAAAAGGGTGAAGAGTTTGGCCAATGTAGGAGAAGGGAGCAAGTGCCGAAAGAGTTGATGTGGAAATATTGTGCAATTCAGCTCACTGTCCTAGAAAAATTTGAAGTACATGCCCTATTATCATCTCTGCGTTATTTAGATTGATTTTAGTTGGCTTTATCCCAGAAAAAGAACAGAGAAAGGAGTAGAAGAGCCAGTGTAACAAGGGACAATACTAGTCCACAACGGGAACCACAGCACCAGCCCCACCCCCAGCCAAGCTCTGGAATTGAAGGTGCAACACCCAATGTTGAAGAGGTGGAATATGTGGAGGGGGCCACAACCTCTGGTATGCACTGTTTGATTTGTAAACAAATATTTGTATTGTAAAACAAACACAGCCTTTTAAAAAAAAAAAAAATATATATTTTTTTGGGTACATATAGCTCAAGAGTCACTGGACATGGCGGGCTCGACTCGACAGCGTTTAATCGCCTTCCTCCACGCCCACAACAGCCATATCCTGAGGCTCCAAAAGGAGTTGGTGGAAATGCAGGAGGAGGTCACCAGAACCCTTGAATTTCTTGAGCATCATTAAAAAAAAAATGATTTGTATTTTATTTCAAAATATTCAAAATATCAAATGTTCTCAGTTCTTCAAATGTCTGTGTCTTGCTTTTACCTCTGTGCATAAAGTGCACTGCTTTTATTTATACACCCATATGTACATCGATGTTTTGTAACATAAACCTGACAACATTAGGGACATAAATCTGTGGACATACACTCCCTGGACTAAAACCAAAAAAAAACCCCCAAAACTATAATCTATCAAAACCAACCAAAAAACTAATAAAACCAGAAAAACACCAAAAGATAACCTCACACACTACAACAGATATAAACTAAAATGAACTACAAGAAACAAAGAATTGCAAATATATTTGCTCAGATGCACAGAGAAAAAAAAAATGTGTGATCTGCTCCACTACACTAACCCACAAAGGGAAGTCACATGATCGGGCCTGTAATGCAGCAGAAGAAAACCTCTGATTGGTCAACCAACAGTCACATGTTTCCGTCCCAACGAAATTCGGATTCGAAATTCGTTAACGGGATTTCGTACTTTGTGTCTGTAATGCAACCCTCCCTCAACAGCAAAAGAAAACCTCTGGTCAACCACCAGTCACGTGTTTCCGTTGTAACGAAATTCGGATCCGAAATTCGTTAACGGAATTTCAGATTTAAAAAAAAATCTTGTCATGTTGTTCAACCTCAGTCAGAGACCGGTACTAAGATTAGTTTCCGTTTCAACGAAATTCGGATCATAAATTCGTCAACGGAATTTCGTATTTCGGATTAAAAACAAAAAAACTACTATCGACTCTAATAACAAAGGTATTTTTGCTTTTTAACTTCACCATAACAAATGGTCGAAAAGAACGAAACGAACGAAAATTCGTATTTCGTGCGAATCCGAATTGAGCTTCGGACACGAATTACGAAAAACGAAATAACATACTCTAAAACGAAACATTTTTTAACGGCGCACAAGTCTACCAGTGATACATGAGCCGGTATTCCATATGTAATGAATATACAATGAGTGGCCAGATTATTATGACCACCTGACGTTTGTAGGCAAATTAGCTATAATTTGGCGCTGAAGTTGCTAGAGGGCCAGACCATTATAAATAGGGAAGCAGGTTGGTTACCACGACAGTAGAAGTAATTTGTTTCTGAAGATACGGGGAAACAACGCGATTTAACAGCCTTTGAACGTGGGATGATTGCTGGCGCTCGGAGCCATGGCGCGAGTATCAGCAAAACAGCAGAATTCGTTAAATGTTCAAGAGCAGCTGTTGTTAAAGTGTTTAAAGACCAGACTGTCAGCCGAAAATCTGCGTCTGAACGTGCGAATTGTGGCCGTCAGCGACTAGTCAATGTTAGGGCAGAAAGAGTGGCAAGACTGGTACAAGACAACAGAAGGGCAACAGTGCCATGTCAGATTCCTCGCATCACCTTTCATCATCTAGTGGAGTCACGAGGCGGCCCAGCTAAGTCATCTTGTGGAGTCATCTCAAGTACTGATGGGGGGTAGTCATAACAATCTGGCCACTCAGTGTATATGGCTAGTGGAATAAGGGGTAAGACTTGCCTTATTTCTTACCCAGGCACTTTCCTCTGGTGCTCCAGTTTTTGGCCGGGCCCTTGATATCCTCATGTGCAATGCAGGACTGCTGGTCCTGCTTTATATGTGATGACTTCAATGTGTGACCGCTGGTTGGGGTGTCAAAGAGGCTTCAGGGGACTTGGAGCCTGGACATGGAGTGGGGTTTTAAATGGAACCAGTTGCCTTATTTTCACAAGGGAAAAACAAATCTGAACTGCGAACCCCGATACCTGAAAAATGTGGACCAAATTCCGCTATTCTGTGTCTGCATGGGACGTGGTCTTTTGTCACTTGAATGCCACTAAAATCATTCGTGTTTTGCTAAGCGGCTGTTTGGATACAGTTGGTACATGTTGGAGTTCTCCTTTTAATCTGTTTGCATTGTTTTCTCTTTTCTCTGGCAGGGAATCTCCCGTCATCGAATGTTCCCTTTCTCGTCGGCATTATTTGCGCAGCGATTGGCGGCCTTCTCCTCATCGCCATTATTGTGTTTGCCATCGTGATCACTAAGAAGAAGAGGTCTAGAAAGAATTACACGGGGTAAGAGGACGCTCTTCACTCCCATTTTTTTCACGCCTGGAATTGTATTTTCTGGAGTTGGGGGTGAAATGCCGAATCTTATATACACAATCCTCTTCTTCTTAGAAGTGTTCCCTTAAAGGATATGCACTGACGGAAATAGGGGCTGCCTTCGCTGACCTCCTTGTAAAATGCTCGTTGCCTGGTTGTTATGGTGACCTTACGGCTTCAGTACATTAAACACTGCAGAAAGCTGTAATGTAAATGTCTAGGGGTCTGCTCACGCCACAGGGCATGCGTTATGGCGAGTATAAAACGTATGCTGGTGTGGGTTGTGCACCTGCGCTGCAATATGTTGCCACACATCAGTGTTTGCCTTTTTATTTCTTGTTTTAGGGCCCATTCACACTGGTCCGAAGCATTAAAGGAGAACTATGAGGTGAGTGCTTTTCACTCACTTCATAGTTCTAGCCGACCTGTGACAATGAGACTGTCACAGGTCGGCTCAGTAGCTCGGGAGGTGAGCGAACACATACCGGCGTTCGCTCACCTCTCGATCCTGTCACGGCACTCTGCCGTGACAAGGGAGGGACTGGATTCTCTGCTCCAGCGCTGAGTGGAGGAACGGACGGGGGAGGGGGCGGGTACAGCTGGCTCTGCCTCTAGATAGGCAGAGCCAGCTGTCACTCACGCAGCTGGGCGGATCCAGACATAATTGTCGGGATCTGCTTCAGTTACGGCGTCTCAGCTGTAGCTCGCGGTATACTGAGCTTAGGGTGACGGGAGGACGCTAGTTTATGTCCTCCCGTTACCCTAAGGAGAACTATGGGGAAAAGCCCTAACCCCGTAGTTCTCTTTAAAGCGCACTGTTCTGTGCAATTAATGCACCGTAGCACACACAGAGGCACGTAGCACTCAAAGTGACCGACAGTCATATTGGTGTCCCCCCTCTGAAAAGTCGGGGCGCTCGGTCATGGACTGAGAGCCCGACAGTTGCAGGAGAGAGGAGGGGACCCAGTGGGATACCTTATCCCACCAGATGAACATCCCCCTCCTCTTTGCTGGCGTCCATCACCAAAATGGCCGACAGCAGTGAAGTGCACGTAACGTCACTACTGCGTGTTTCGTAATGAAGTCACGTGTATACGTAATGACCTGCGCACCAGATGACACTCAGCCTGGTGACGCCACTGACCACACACCACACCTACCATGCAATAACACAGGAGGTTCATTTAAATGGCTCCCTAATCGCACCGCAACACCGTCTATTGTGATTAATAAAAAAGTAGTGCATGCACGACCATGCGATTTAACACATCTGACCAGTGTGAATGGGCCCTCAAAGTTAACAAAGAAACAATTCAACACATTCTGACATGCTGCTGTTCACTGTACTGCGTTATTTTGCAATTAATTTTTATGCAATGCACAACAGCACATGTGTTTGGTGTGAATAGGGCTCATCAAGGCAGTGCAACGCATCTGGGAAGGAGCCCTTTTTGTTGCAAGTAGTTCCGGTCCTAGCTTCTCTTCGTTGCACAGCTGCAGGTAGGAGTGCTCTGCGCTGTGTGGAAGCAGCGGCCTCTCCGCAGTGTTCAGACATGCCCCCTGCTGCCCCACCTTTAGGATGAGCCTCCAAGGGTCAGCATGAATGTCAGATGAGTAGCATTTTGTGGAGAGATGGTGACGGCAGGCTTCATATTTCTCCAATCAGAAATGTATTTTTGAGGGAAACCTGTTGACCCCTGTGCTCCTCTCTGGAGCCCCCTAGGATGGGTGCCATTGCCTCCGGCTCCTAGGCTGTATGCTAGTTCTGGGCAACCGATTGCTGACTTGGTCAGCACAAGTGATCTGGAACAGTGGTATGCCAGCTGGAAGTCTTTAAAGGCCACGTTCATGGGATGCATAACATTTTAGATGTTTTCAAGTAAACCTGTCACTGTACAGAACTTAAATTAACCCATGCTCCAATGTCACATAAAGCTGTATTAATAGCCTTGCAGGGGTGGAATACCAGTGGTAGAGGGGCTGAAATGTCTGGGGCAATGGCTGCTCTAGGTTCCCTTCATTGTTCTCCATAATGCTAAACCTAGGCATTGGTCATGTGGTCACTCCTGGAGGAGGATCATGTGACCAAGATGTCTAGGGGAAATGACATGGGGGAATCCTTAAAGACCTAAAAATAAACTAATAGAAGACCTATACCAGGGGTAGCCAAACTCCAGCCCTCCAGCTGCAGTGAAACTACAAATCCCATGATGCATCTCTCTGTGGGAGTCTGTGAGAATCTTGCAATGCCTCATGGGATTTGTAGTTCCACCACAGCTGGAGGGCCGGAGTTTGGCTACCCTGATGTATACTGAGGGAAATGTATGTTGGCTGTCATTGCTGACTGCCTTCTGAAAATGCCAGTTTGCTGGCTCTGATATTTACTGGAACCAGGATAAAAGAATAAACCTAAAGGATCTACGTAGCAGCATTATCAGGAGGTCAGCAGAAGCAGCCAATCTATCTGTCTCTGTGCACTTTATAGACGGACCCAAATGTGAAGCCCAGACTTAAGTCTCTCTGCATTTTTTTTGATGACTTCTAGCCTGATGACCTCTGCATAGAAGTCCAGTGTGGTCAGGCCACAGCGCTTAGATCAGGGAGAGGTAACCTTTGGTGTTCCTGATCTTTAGCAGATTTGCTGCTGTGAGTAATTTGGGTGTGTTGTCAGATGTCTGCATGCGGTTTTCTCCAGTGTGTGCTACACCGTTTTTTCAGTTTGTGTGGTTTTCCTCTCCACCTGACACACAATACAGAAAGAAGAACTTCAGGCTTCCGTATACGAGCCCAGCCGTTACATTTAAAGTAGATCCCCAGCCAAAGCTTTATTCTAGTTTTGGATAAAGCTTTAGGTATCGAGGACAAATAGAGAAGGCCATGTCTCCCCAGATGGCAATAAAAACCTGGCAGGGGTTCTAACCATTCCCACCTTTTCTTCATAGTATAATTTGGATGGAGATACTTTTAAAGGAGAACTATGGGGTTAGGGCTTTTCCCCATAGTTCTCCTAAGGGTAACGGGAGGACACAAACTAGCGTCCTCCTGTCACCCGAAGCTCAGTATACTGCAAGCTACAGCTCGCAGTCTACTGAGACGACCGGAACGGATCCCGACAATTATGTCTGGATCCACCCAGCTGCGGGATTGACAACTGGCTCTGCCTATCCAGAGGCGAGCCAGCTGTGCCTGCCCCCTCTCCCGTCCGTCAGCGCTGGAGGATCGGGGAGGGGGGAATCCCTGCAGGGAGCCGTGAGTGACACGGCTCTCTGCACGGGTAGATCGAGAAGTGAGCGAGCGGCGGTATGTGTTCTCTCACTTCCCGATCTACTGAGCCGACCTGTGACAGTTTCATTGTCACACGTCGGCTCAGATTATGAGTGAAAATCACTTGCCTCATAATTCTCCTTTTTTCAATGAAACTTTTTCCTGTGGCAACATGGAGGCGGGCATTAAATAAGGTCATGTAAGGGATCCCACCGCACTCCAGACCGAAAATGCCCCAACTTCCAATGGGGGGGGGTGTGCTGAAATGACAGCGGATGACGCAGCTGGATCAGATAAACAGAGCAGTAAGTCATCAGCACTCCAAAGGTTCTCCAAGCAAAAAGTTCTTTTTATTCCATGTGTACAGTGACATCACCAAATGTGGCAATTAAATCGGGTCCCCCAGCAGTAGGTACAATAAAATAGCCGATCGGGACTGCAATAGGCGCCTCCTCTCCGGCACGGTTTCCTGAGGTTCATTCTTTCATGCCACTCGATGAGCTTTGAATTTCAAGCTGGAAGACTGAGGATATACTGTGAGTGCCGGGCATCATAGACATGCCCCCCGAAGGAGGTATCACCATAGCACCCCCACCCTGCACTTGGTGTAATGATGCAGCAAGCAATATGGACGTTACCAACCTCGGCGCTGCTTTCTCCACCATTGAGGGACGATTAGTGTCAGAAGAGGCAAAGACCATGTGACCGGCCTAAAGGTTTCTGCAAAAGGTAAGTAAGTGAGCCGGCTGCAATGGAAGGCAGTGCGTTCTGGCCAGAATCGGGCCGGAACACACTGCATTTGGTGTGAACGAGCCCTAAGGAAGCCAGGCGGCGTGTAAAGACTCGCCACCCGGCTTCCCGATTTGCAGGGGACGAGAAAGCATGGAGCCAGCTTTCTGGTCAATCAGGAAACCGGGTGTCATGTAATGACTCGGCGCCTGGCTTCCTGATTGGCCATGAAGCCGGCTTTCTGGCCAATCAGAAAGCCAAGGGACCGGTAATGACTCCCCATCCGGGTTCCTGACTGGTCGGCTTTCCGACCAATCAGGGAGCTCAGCGGCGAGTCATTACACCCTGCCCGGCTCCCTGATTTGCCGGGGAACCTGCTCCATCACTTGGTGACGAGGAAGCATGCAGCCGGCTTCCCAGCTAATCGGGAAGCCAGGCACTGTGTAATGACTCGCTGCCCGGCTTCCTGATACCGGAAACTCTGGTATCTGGCTAAGTACCGATACCGATACTAGTATCGGTGCATCCCTATAAGGAAGACATTACAGTTAAAATACATATCAAGACAAGGTGGTGAGGAGGGCACTGCCCCTGACAGCTTAGCCACTCATTTGGAAGTTGGGGCATTTATATTACCAAGCTGCCCACCCGACACTCAGACATTGTTCTTCAGGCTGCTGGGAAATTCTGCTGAATTCCACAATTGTCAGGAAGGATTAGTGGTATGGGAACTTTTTTGACCCGCTGCACAGTCAGGAGTCAGCTGTTGGTGGGACTTTATTAACAGCAGATGGTGGCAACCTGGTGAGTAACATGTTTCTGTACCCTCATTTAGCCCCCTACAACATCAGGTGGAGCCCCCCTTTAAAGTCTGTGGTTTGTTGCACCCTTTGAAGTTTGGAGTATGATGTGATGGCCGATTTTGTGTTTGATAACCCGTGATGTTCTTTTCCTGTGTTTACTGGTTTTATGTTCTCATTACAATTTAATTCTTTACATTCTCCATGACATTTCTAGTTAACATAAAGGATAACTAAACCCAAGAAGAAAACTGTAATATATAGCAGCTTATTGTAGAGCAGGCAAGGGTTAGAACCTCTGTCCATGCTGTGTGTGTCCTTGCTGGGAACATTTCCTTTTGCTCCCTGTCTTATATGACAAAAAAGTGAGAGGGAAATTTCCTTCGTATGGACTCAAACAGCAAAAACCTGGCAGAGGTGCAAACCCTTCCTCTTTTTCTTACATTACCTTGTTGGGTAAATTTACTATCACTTCCTGTTCTGTCTGACACCCATCCTGCCAAACAGCCAGAAAAAAACAGCTGCGAGCACATTGTAAAATGCAACACTTGTAAACCCTTCTCAATCCAGGACAGACAATGCAGAGCCCTATCTGGTATCTCTCCCTCTTGACGCGTTTCACCCACTACTGAGCTCATTGGTTGAGATCTCCAGCAATTAGGCCCAGTGGTGGGTGAAATGCGTTGAAATGGTCCTAGGCAAGGCCTTTGTGTTGCTTGTCCTGGACTTGATAACATTTTACAAGCTTTCAAATGCATGATGTCCCCTTGGCTGGTTTCTTCAGGATGAATTGGCAGCTTAGGGGGATAAGAACAAAGCCCTGCTTGGCTAAAAGTCCATGAAGGACTTCATTCTCTATGGTAAGAAGACCGTAATAAGGGCACTCTAAAACAAAGTGTATATAACCTTTCAGCCCCTTGACGTTACCTAATCAATCCCACATTCCCCCTGCACAGGTGCGTGCTGACCCAGTCCCAACAGGCCCGGCCTTCGCTGTTCGTTTACATCCTGCAGCAGGCGTCTCTACCCCGCTCGCCCCTGTGCAGTACACCCTCCATTGACTTCTATGCAGCTCCTCTGCCTCTGTTTCCTGTTTGAGAAACCGAGCCCCGTAGAAGTCAATGAGGATGTGCGGTGTAGGCAGGAGAGAGAGCATTTGCCGCAGGATGTCAACAAATGGGGGAGGCTGTGCATGCAAACGAATGCGTTTGCATGCATCTGTGCTGGCAGATGGTGTTTTTAAAGGAATTTCTCACAAAATGGTTAATATAGGTGCCAGGGAGCTACATAACAATTTTAAATAGGGATGCACCGATTCCAAGTACCGTACTCGGTACAAGTACAGATACTTTTCCAGCTCCAAGACTAGACTAGAGAAAAATTCAATAGTTAGGAGGCCGCTGTCATTTGTAAGGAGCACTCGGAGCTCCCGGGAGCTGTACATCTCGGTTTTAATGTACGATTTTGTTATATATATATATATATATATAGATGCACAGATACCATTGTTGCAAGTACTGATACTTGTCCAAGTCCTCACAGATGCAAGTACTGATACTTGTCCAAGTCCTCACAGATACAAGTACTGATACTTGTCCAAGTCCTCACAGATACAAGTACTGATACATTTTTGTTTATTGTCATGTGACAGTCTTTCTAAAACAAAGACTAATGATTTCAGGACAGTGGTGGAGCGCCAGGTCCCAGCTGCAACCGCTGCAGCCCTGGGAGTTCTCGTGAAAATGCCAAGTATCTGAAAAGAATCGGTGCATCCCTAATTTTAAATCTTCTTTTTTAACTTCAGTGACCAGCTTTCTTGACCGGAAGGGCTGGCTCTGGCCAACTTCTCTGTAATGTAAGAGTAACAAAGGCAAGAGTAAGTCCCGTCTTGGTGGACGGAGCTGGGAACTGAGATACAGAGATCCATTCCGGTGGATCATTCCATTTTTTTAAATTTCTTTTACTTTTCACTATTTGGGTTTTCCTTGGAGGCCTTAACGCACATTGACCTTTTTCCTCTCTCTCACTTTGCATGGCTGAGGTGTCTCTTTTGATCATCTAAATCACTTAACCGATTTGAAATAATCCATTAATCTCAGTTACATTTGCATGGGGTGCCCTGAGCTGCCTCCTCTTCTCGGTTTGGATGTAATCCCGGTCTCTTGCTCTCCCTTGCAGACACGATTTTTTGGTGTAGACGGTGGAATAAGGTTAACTGGTCTTTCTGATGTTCCTCCTCCATTTTTCTCATGGTAACTTTGGCCGGATACTTTTATTTTCTTCCTTTTGGTGTGCTGCTCCTCAAACTACTTTGCGTTTCGGCCGCTGCACTAACCTCTAATGAGCTTTTCGCTTCTCGCTGCTTGTTGCCTCCTGTGGCTAGTGTGCTCGGTCCTCTGCCTCGTACAGGGAAACTCTAATGGTTTGGGCTCAATTATATTTTCAATTTAATTTATATTTAGGTTAATTTTCTGCATTTATTTTTGTTTGTTTTATATAAAAGTTTTAGATTAGAAATGTTAGAGTGCACGCATGACACCGGTGTTAAAACAAACCAATGTGGAGTTTTATATAGAGAAGAGAAGATGGGAAGTCGCCAGCAATCCTGTCAAATGCACATTGCATGTTTTATTGTAAAGGCCGCGTCACATAAGTCCAATAATATTTCAGGGCTTTGTTAGGGTCCCTTCCACAAAGCAACATGGTGACCTATGTCAGCTTGAGGAAAGGACCCAGCAAGGTCCTGAAACATCAGTTTGCGTAGACTTGTTTGCTGTCTCTACAGTAAAACATGTGATCCGCGTTTGATGGGATTGCTGGTGACTTGCTATCTCTTTAACTGGTTCTGGCATAGTGCCATCTGATGCAATCACTACACACGCCCACTGATCACATCATTCAAGCATTGGAAGGAGTGCTGTTTCATACTTGGAATTTTTTAAACGGAGCCCACTACAGAACCTTTCCTTTTATCGGTGGAAAGGATAGCGCCCCCTCGTTGGTGTCGGTGGAAAGGATAGCGCCCCCTCGTTGGTGTCGGTGGAAAACATAGCGCCCCCTCGTTGGTGTCGGTGGAAAGGATAGCGCCCCCTCGTTGGTGTCAGTGGAAAGGATAGCGCCCCCTCTGTCACTGGGACTGCTGTGTTATTGCGATTGAAAAACTGCACCAAGTAAGTCCTATTTTGGTTTGGCCGATAGTTTAACTAAAGCGAAGTAATGAATAATATCTGTGTCTTTTGTAGCCGAGTTGTAACGAAACGTTCAGATTTTTGCATAAACGCTTCTCTCCCGGTGCAGTCTTGTCAGAGTCCGCTAGTATTTGGAAGGCTTTGCTTCTGTCTGTAGAATGTTGTGTGCATACAGAGAGCCGAATGTGCTTATTAATGTCAAGGCAAAATAGAAAACTAATATATTTAGTGTCTGTACAATACATGCACATTCCCCATGTTCTATCCCCATAAACACTCCAAGTACAGAAATATAGTGCGCTTCTACCGTCCTCTGTGACATGACAACATAGAGTTTCTGATTCTAAATTCCAAAGCACATGGTGTCAGCCCTGCCTGCTTTTATTTCTAAATCTTAAAATGTTTTCTGTTTGTGGTGCTTCCTTTTTGCCTGCCTATATTTGGCGTTTTTTGCTTTTACAAAAGGTCCATCTCACAGAAGTTGCAGTGTGCGTCCCGTGTGATTGCGTCCCGTGTGAATGACCCGCATTTGTTGAGAATATCACCCAGCTTATGACCCGCCTTGTGACTGCGCAGTGCCGTGTATCCCGTATAATGTTGTTTTATGTTTTACCTTCCTCTGTCCATTGAGTTCCGTTTTGTGATTTGTGTGTGCTCATTTATGTGTTCCTCATTATTTGTTCTTTTTTTTTTTCTCACCCTTCCCCCTTTTTTTTTTTCCCCCTCTTTTTTTTCCCCAAACCCCAATGTCCATCCTCCAACCCCTTTCCAAACTTTCTGCCATTTTTATTCGTTGTCTGGCTTCATTTTGCATCCCGTCACGTGGTATTTGTTCCGATCCTGCCTGCCTTGGTTTCCCGCTGTGGGGTGGCAGCTGCAGCACGACTGAAAGCTTGATGTCACCCGTTAAGCAGCCACCACGCAAGTCGCCCTCTGATACGGAGGCTCTGGTTACCAATGCACCCACTGGAACCGTGCAGGTAAATGGCTCGTAGATGTGATAAGACTGCAATGTGTAGAGCAATGAGCTGGGATTGCATCCTCTCAAGTGTCGTTTAGTAGACGTGGACTCCAAACTCCACTCCAACTTAGACCAAAGCTGTTCTATTGATTTTAGGTGGGCAGGATCATCTGCTGCCCTCTGTTTCAAAACCCTCAAGATGTACTCAATGTAATTGGGTCTCCCCTTTTTTGGGGGGTCTTCCAGCCAGTCCAGTGATGTCACAGGTCCATCTTTTTCTCTGCCTTCGGGGAATTAAGTGCTGTTTTTTCACTTGCTCCTTCATACCTGGAAATACTGGATATTTACTACGGCTTCCAGCGCTGCATAGAGCAACAGGAGTGTGGATGAAAGGTAATATGCTGCCGGGGGCAAGGGAATAAAGCAAACCTGAATGGGCAAAACAGGGCAATCTTTTAACGCGGGGGAAAAGGGACAGTTGCCCCGGGCCCTGTCATGTTTGTGGGGCCCAAAGCAGCTGCCCCTTGAGCCCGCAAAAGATACACATGCAGCACGGTTCTGTCTACTATGCAATCGGCATCACAAAGTGTTGCTCTGCCCCTGCCATACGCCGCGTGACTTCTCGCGCCGCGTGACTTCTCGCGCCGCGTAACTTCTCGCGCCGCGTGACTTCTCGCGCCGCGTGACTTCTCGCGCCGGGGGTGGTGAGCAAAATTGCATGGTGGGGGCAGAGGGGCCAAGGACATGTTAGCCCAGGGTCTAATCCGTATTAAAGACGGCCCTGGGGCGAAGCACAGTATTTCCACTTCTGCAGTCACTGCTTGTATCCGGAAAGTAGGAACAGCGCCCTGCTGACCCTATAAATAAAATCTGTAGGTACATGATTGCCATTCAGTCCAGGATTCCGAATGGTAGCTGTCCGAAAACCAGAACATTGTTCAATCCCCCCCCCCCTGCAGCAGAGGCAGCTGTGTCCTGTTTTCTGAGTATCCTGACCTGTTATCAGCACTTGGTGCTATAAAGCGTGACTGGCTGGTGTGGGGGGTGCGAGGGAGCGCTCCGCACTACTTTCACTGCAGGAATGTGTTTTGTAGCGCAGTAGTTGGATGTTAGCTGGCACCATGCCTGTGTGTGGGGGGGTTCGGCCTCATTTATTACCCGGCTGCTCTGCTGGCTTGTGCAATGATCATGGAATTTTATTTTTCTGCAGCTGTAACTTGGTGGCTCCATCCTGGAGAGCACTGCAGATCTGGGCCATAAAGAGAACCAGTCACACCAGCAATGGCGGACTCTAGAAAAGCTAAGACCATCTAGGCATTAAAGAGAACCAGTCACACCAGCAATGGCAGACTCTAGATGGAGCCGAGACCATTTCGGCCTTAAAAGAGAACCCGTCACACCAGCAATGTTAGACTCTAGAAAAAGCTGAAACCACATTTGAAGATGAACTTCATGAACTTCAGGGGGAAAAAACACTACTTTTTTTTTTTCCGGCCACTAGCAATGTTCTAATATATTACATTTAATGAAGGGTTGGGGAGAGTAAACCACAGGGTGTCACTCGTCTATTCACAGAGCACCTTTTTTGTACATTGCAAATGGCCCAAAAACTTTTTTTATGGAGGTAGATTAAACTTCAGCTTTAAAAAAAAAAACTTATCAGTGAAATCTCGTGTTCAGAGACCATGTATGCATTAGAGGCGTTTGTCTTGCTTCTGCAGCAACAGCTTTCATGATGGAAGAATGGGGACGCTGGTTTGAAATAAGCCGAGGTACCGGGTGGATCTGGTGGGGTGACTTCCCATTCTGTAATTAAAGATAAGTGTTGCGAGAAAGATGGGAGGTATGTAGGACTTGGTTCTGGCCGGTGCACTCCGAGAGAGATGGGAGGCATGCGGGACTTGGTTCCTGCCGGTGCACTCCGAGAGAGATGGGAGGTATGCGGGACTTGGTTCCTGCCGGTGGACTCCGAGAGAGATGGGAGGTATGCGGGACTTGGTTCCTGCCGGTGGACTCCGAGAGAGATGGGAGGTATGCGGGACTTGGTTCCTGCCGGTGGACTCCGAGAGAGATGGGAGGTATGCGGGACTTGGTTCCTGCCGGTGGACTCCGAGAGAGATGGGAGGTATGCGGGACTTGGTTCCTGCCGGTGGACTCCGAGAGAGATGGGAGGTATGCGGGACTTGGTTCCTGCCGGTGGACTCCGAGAGAGATGGGAGGTATGCGGGACTTGGTTCCTGCCGGTGGACTCCGAGAGAGATGGGAGGTATGCGGGACTTGGTTCCTGCCGGTGGACTCCGAGAGAGATGGGAGGTATGCGGGACTTGGTTCCTGCCGGTGGACTCCGAGAGAGATGGGAGGTATGCGGGACTTGGTTCCTGCCGGTGGACTCCGAGAGAGATGGGAGGTATGCGGGACTTGGTTCCTGCCGGTGGACTCCGAGAGAGATGGGAGGTATGCGGGACTTGGTTCCTGCCGGTGGACTCCGAGAGAGATGGGAGGTATGCGGGACTTGGTTCCTGCCGGTGGACTCCGAGAGAGATGGGAGGTATGCGGGACTTGGTTCCTGCCGGTGGACTCCGAGAGAGATGGGAGGTATGCGGGACTTGGTTCCTGCCGGTGGACTCCGAGAGAGATGGGAGGTATGCGGGACTTGGTTCCTGCCGGTGGACTCCGAGAGAGATGGGAGGTATGCGGGACTTGGTTCCTGCCGGTGGACTCCGAGAGAGATGGGAGGTATGCGGGACTTGGTTCCTGCCGGTGGACTCCGAGAGAGATGGGAGGTATGCGGGACTTGGTTCCTGCCGGTGGACTCCGAGAGAGATGGGAGGTATGCGGGACTTGGTTCCTGCCGGTGGACTCCGAGAGAGATGGGAGGTATGCGGGACTTGGTTCCTGCCGGTGGACTCCGAGAGAGATGGGAGGTATGCGGGACTTGGTTCCTGCCGGTGGACTCCGAGAGAGATGGGAGGTATGCGGGACTTGGTTCCTGCCGGTGGACTCCGAGAGAGATGGGAGGTATGCGGGACTTGGTTCCTGCCGGTGGACTCCGAGAGAGATGGGAGGTATGCGGGACTTGGTTCCTGCCGGTGGACTCCGAGAGAGATGGGAGGTATGCGGGACTTGGTTCCTGCCGGTGGACTCCGAGAGAGATGGGAGGTATGCGGGACTTGGTTCCTGCCGGTGGACTCCGAGAGAGATGGGAGGTATGCGGGACTTGGTTCCTGCCGGTGGACTCCGAGAGAGATGGGAGGTATGCGGGACTTGGTTCCTGCCGGTGGACTCCGAGAGAGATGGGAGGTATGCGGGACTTGGTTCCTGCCGGTGGACTCCGAGAGAGATGGGAGGTATGCGGGACTTGGTTCCTGCCGGTGGACTCCGAGAGAGATGGGAGGTATGCGGGACTTGGTTCCTGCCGGTGGACTCCGAGAGAGATGGGAGGTATGCGGGACTTGGTTCCTGCCGGTGGACTCCGAGAGAGATGGGAGGTATGCGGGACTTGGTTCCTGCCGGTGGACTCCGAGAGAGATGGGAGGTATGCGGGACTTGGTTCCTGCCGGTGGACTCCGAGAGAGATGGGAGGTATGCGGGACTTGGTTCCTGCCGGTGGACTCCGAGAGAGATGGGAGGTATGCGGGACTTGGTTCCTGCCGGTGGACTCCGAGAGAGATGGGAGGTATGCGGGACTTGGTTCCTGCCGGTGGACTCCGAGAGAGATGGGAGGTATGCGGGACTTGGTTCCTGCCGGTGGACTCCGAGAGAGATGGGAGGTATGCGGGACTTGGTTCCTGCCGGTGGACTCCGAGAGAGATGGGAGGTATGCGGGACTTGGTTCCTGCCGGTGGACTCCGAGAGAGATGGGAGGTATGCGGGACTTGGTTCCTGCCGGTGCACTCCGAGAGAGATGGGAAGTATGGGGGGGACTTGGTTCCTGCCAGTGCACTTCGAGAGAGATGGGAGGTATGGGGGGGACTTGGTTCCTGCTGGTGCACTCCGAGAGAGATGGGAAGTATGGGGGGGACTTGGTTCCTGCAGGTGCACTCCGAGAGAGATGGGAGGTATGGGGGGACTTGGTTCCTGCCGGTGTACTCCGAGAGAGATGGGAGGTATGGGGGGGACTTGGTTCCTGCAGGTGCACTCCGAGAGATGGGAGGTATGGGGGGGACTTGGTTCCTGCCGGTGCACTCCGAGAAAGATGGGAGGGGGGGGGGACTTGGTTCCTGCCGGTGCACTCCGAGAAATATGGGCGGTATGGGGGGGGACTTGGTTCCTGCCGGTGCACTCCAAGAGAGATGGGAGGTATGGGGGACTTTGATCCTCCGAGAGAGATGGGAGGTTACAGTTCACCAGAATTGACAGGAAAATGGATTGTCAGTTTGTGGTGGATTGCCCTTTTAATCGTTAGCTGTGCGCTGAATGTGCCGTCACTGCTAAAGTAACATCTTGTTTCCTGCTTTTTTTCCCATCTCCAGGGGCCAGTAATCTACGCTCAGCTCGACCACTCGGGAACCGCAAACAGCCAGGTCAACAAATCAGAACGCGTGGTCTACGCCGACATCCGGAAGGTCTGCTGAGATCCCCGACGCGGATGCAATATTCCATAAATAATAACTTTACGTACGGACCCAATGTGGCACCAAGCCATTGCCTTTTGCAAAGCCATGTGTGACCTTGTCACCCGAGACCAATGTATATGACTCGAGATGCCTGTTTGTTTGTACAGGAGCCCCCGCCATCATGAAGCGCCATTTACAGAGCGCTTCTCCAATTTCCCATCCGCAGTCTGTGGTGCCTTCTGTACAATCTTCCAAACTGCCTTTTGTTGTGTTTTTTATGTTTTTGTATTTTTTTTTTTTTTTGTGGGTCCCAAAGTTTTACATTGCCAGAATTTGAACACTATTCAGGTCCCAGGTACCCAACCTGTGGCCTGAGGCTCTTTGTACTTGCTCTGTGGCCTTCGGTAGTCAGTGGTAGGATTGGGAGCATTGGTTTGTGAAGTTGTAATAGAAGAATCTCCACTAACCTCCATGTATCATGTCCCCAGTCTCTCACTGGCTTCAGTAGTATATCTCCAGTAGTCACCCAAGCCTGTAGTGTGTCCCCAGTCTCTGACCATCTTCCTTATGTCTGCGGGCCGTCGCATTCATCTCTCACAATACATATACTAAACATTGGTGTGGCCCTATTGTGATGACAGGGGCTGCAGTTGAGGGCCCTCTGTACCTCACCACTGATTAAGGTGCTTCTCATCACTTACTAGGCTAACAAAGTAATGGAAAGTAATTCTCCTTAAAGCGGTTGACTGATGCATGTTAAATTCAGGTGCCGGTCAGTCCAGTGTAAACATTTATTAAAGGATACGTGCACCTTTTTGTAATAAAAAAATTAAATTATTTTAAAACGTGTTACATTGCTTCCTTCCTCCTGGATGATATAGTTCCTGCCCAGGAGCCATAATATGTAGACCTCCTAAGCGGCACGTGCCTCAAATTTATTGTCGTAAAGCATGCATGAGGGAACATACGGGGGGGCCGGCATCCCCAGAGCTCCTTCCTGTGACCTTGGATAGCCAAGTGGGAGAATTCTTAAGTATTGAGATGCCTTATATGTTGATCCTCTTCACAAACCAAACCCAGAACCTTTGGGAAGACCTGTAGCTCCAAGTTTAAAGAAGGAAACTTGAACTAGCAAGATCTTTGATGACCTCCCTGTCTCCGGACAGTGGTGTTCAGCGGAGAAATGCCCCTTTCCATTGGTGGTCATTGTAGGTGGAAGATCAATCTACCATTGCACTCTACACTAGGAACCCCTCGCAACCTGCCCCGGATAGATTAGAAAACCTGCTCCGGATAGATTAGAAAACCTGCCACGGATAGATTAGAAAACCTGCCACGGATATACTTGAGTAGCCTTTTGTGTTTTAAAAGTGCGCATGTCTTTAGGGATTCGAGGAAACACGTGTGTGCGGCAGCAGAGTCTGGGGTCTCAGCACTCAATGAAATGTATTTAGTAATCACAGCAAGAGATGTTTTATCACAATCTATGCAACATGTTTCATTTGTATTTCTTTTCTAAGGAAGGGCAGATCCTGTACATGGTGATGAAACTGCTGACCTCTGCTGTGGTCAATAAATACATTTCTGCAATCTATACTTTATAGAGAATCTTCCTGCCAGATCCCTGCAATGCGGTCCGGTGCAATCTGCCATCCGGTCCTTCACCCCTGTGCATGCATATAAAGATCCCAGTTATTCTGGCAGAGAGGCCAGCTACCATCTTTATATATATATATATAATATAATCTCTCCATCCAATGGCCTTTCATGGATTTTATAGCACATGCACACTGAAGAAATTGACCGGTCATGGGACTGTGCTTCCAGTGGGTATCTGGAAGGACTGAGCACAGGGGAGTATAAAGGCTCATTTACACGGACGCAGAGGGCCATACACTGCAGATCAGCATATTTCTGTGGCGGTTATTGGCAAGTGTTTTGCAGACAGAAAGCCTGTACAGATCAATAACAGGCTGACATTGTCCGCGGCTGCGATCGGCGAGCTGTCACATGCAATTAGAGCCAGATGAGCGGCCCTGGACACAGACTGCGTCCAGGGCTGCACATTTGTCCCTGAGCGCAGATGGTCGCTGCATATGCAATTACACATGGACACCTATAGAGCCTGTACAGGCTGAGCAACCATAGTTAGTTCAGTGTAAATACTTGGCGCTACCCACCACAGAAATGCACTGATCTGGGCAGTGTACGGCCCCTATGTACCTGTGTGAACGAGCCATAAAATACCCAACCTGTTCAAGGAAGCAGAAAGAGTGTAAGGTGGTCATTGACCGCTCGCATACCCATCTCAGTATTTAACGTTTATTCTTTTATAAAACCGATATTGTTTAGTGTTTGGCTGATGCAGGAAAGTTAACCCCCCTGACGGCCTCTTCTGCCTCTCTGTTGGTGAGCTCCTAGCTGCCCATCATCCCACTCCTCCTTTAATTTATTTTATATTATAGACAATGCAACGGGTGGAGTGGAACAGTACAATGTAGGCCGGTACTGACACAGAGACAGACGGGACATAGTCACAGCTTGAGTCAGCCAGATCTATTAGAAACAAGGGGGGTGATGCTTTATTACCAGTGGTAAGACAAACTCTACTTTTGGGTGGACAGTTGCAATGTCTCCTCTTGTATCCTAGTCCGATTTCAGCTACAGAAACCTTATCTTGGTTTTATCAGCTGAACAGCAAAGCCTAAAATATATGCAAGGAACAACCTCATCATATCACTCTAATTTATTTATAAAAAGAAAAACCTTTTTTAGGATGCCGTGAACTGCCAGACACTCCAAGTGGAGAAGCTTTCCGCTCCTGTGTGGTGTAATTATTCCGTTTCTTTTTTTTAACCAGTGTACCAGTGCGCCAAGCGAAATAACTGCCAACGCCCCCTGAGCTTTCATTGATCTGCTCCTCCTTTACACTTGTATTGCGGTATCGCACTGCGCTCTATATAGTTTGTTCATATAGGTGAACATTAGGCTTTAAAGTTTAAAGGAAGGTGTAGACCCACTTTGTGTTTTAGGAACAGATTGGAAGCCTCCCCAGAGCTGTTGGTATTTTCATTAATATATATTTCTAAAGGACTAGACATGGGAATGAATGGTGTTGGGGCAGATCAGAGGTGAGGCAGCCATCTTGGGCTTGCTCAGTAGAACCGGTAGACCGGTCGTCACAACCCAAACCATCGGTGAGGAAGACTGCCTGGGCTGTAAAGTAATTATGATTTTGTGTTGGCCCATAGATGAATAAACCGGTGGCGAGGGGGAGAAATGTCCAGATTTGGACTTTAAGCTAAATGAGTTAACTTTTATTTTAGAGCGTTTGCAGTGTTTGCTGGATGTCTGACATGTCACTGGCGGCTTTCACTTGTTGCCTGGAGCTGCTGTTTATCGATACACTTCCTTTAGTACAGGGGTCTGCAAACTCCGGCCCTCTGACTACGTTGAAGTTACAAGTCCCAAGAAGCATTGCAAGATTCTGACCAACAGGGATGACTTCCAGAGACAGATATATGATTGGTTGATTCACCACAGCTGGAGGGCCAGGGTTTGCCCACCCCTGCTGTATTGAATTGCACATGTATGGTGCATGATGTAATGGTTATCTGAATGGACCCTAAATGCATGAACAGTTGTGTACTCTATAACCGGTGCTCATCATACTCAGGCTGTTCATTAAATAAGTGTAAATAGAAATTTGAGTAGCAGACCTTCAATGTCACTGATCCTGAGTACCGGTACGATGAACTCTCACCGTGCCTACAAACCTCTCTAGGACTGTAGCCGCAGCAGACTTGT